CTCTACCTTACGTTAATAGGTGTGAACCTCTCACAGCCTTCAAACTGTATATTTTCACTGATATCTGTTCAGAACATTTACACCATTAAAATTAGCAGCAACATCAGCAATTTACCCAGCGTTGATTTATTTCACTAATCATGCTGATCACTTCATACAGAATCAGACATTGTTACTGCATTTTTCACAGTTAAACAGCTACACAGCCTCTCACAGTTAAAGACAAACACCAAGGCAGAGAGAGAGAGAGAGAGGAAGAGACACAGAGGGAGAGAGAGAGAGAGAGAGAGAGAGAGAGAGAGAGGGGCGGATCAGATTAGGGCAGTCAACGACAGCGCGACAGAATCACTGCTCAGAGTTGATAAAGATCCTGTATTAGACTAGATTTCTTGTCTTCACGACCGTTTATCTCCAAAACAGCAGCTAGACTAGGCTGTATAAACGGGAACCTGTGGGCTGTGGGCGACACCTGTTGTAGCTGACAGACACTGTAATAAAATATACGCAGCAGATTTCCAATGTAATAAACAGCATCATTATAAAAGAAAGAAGAAACCTGTAAACATGGTACCTGTTTAGCTCGGTTAACGATACCTCAGTCTGGAGTCGAGTTGTGAAAGCGGATCTCAGCAGGTTTCGTGTGTGGCCGCTGATAATAACGCCGTTTTCTTTATATATACAGATGACCTGTTGGAGCTCGGTAAAGTTAGGTTGATATTCGATATTCAGCGGATATTCGCGTTTCGCCCCTCCTATCGCTCACAAACAACCTCTTAAAATTTCTGAAATAACATTTTCTAAATCGTGGTAAAACAAACAACAAACTACAATCATTATATTTCGTCAAAGTACTCGATCTTTCCATTTCGCCAAGTACTTTTGATGAAAATAGCCGGAATCGCAGCAGTAGGCGCCGAAAACGGTAAGGGACCGTCTGTAAAGTGCGGGTACTGATTAAAAACGTGAAACATTCAAAGACATAAGGAGCCTGTTGGCGTTATTTATAAAGACTTTAAACCTACTGAAATAGAAAGATAATGTGAAAATCAACAAATCAACAATAACTGACACTAACAAGTATACATCGGACCTGATCTGACAAACATACTACAACCTTTGGATTCATAAAATTTGCCTGAGTTGAATTGCAGAGATTATTTTTTATATGTAATTAATTGCTACTGTGAGATGTCCATAAGACATACACATCTAGTCACTTGTAGTGTACAGGTACCCATCTTGCAAAAATATTACAACCTTTAGTTTGATAACACATTCCTTTTTTTGATTTTTTATGACATTTAAATTCCTACTATGTTACGTACATATAACATACAGATTTAAAATCACTTGTAATGCACAGAGACACACCTGACAAGCATACTACAAACTTTAGTGTGGTAAAATATGCCTCAACTGAATTTTAATGAATATTTTATAGAAATAAATCGCTATTGTGTCACATCCATATGACTTACAGATCTAAAATCACTTGTAGTGTAGAGAGACACGCCTGACAAACATACTACAACCTTTAGTTTGGTAAAATATGCCTCGACTAAATTTTAATGAATTTTTTCTTGAAATAAATTGATACTGTGATATCACTGTAGTGTACACTGATTTGTAGTGAACATGTCACAAACCTACTTCAACCTTTAGTTTACTAGATGTATTCTTTGATTGGATTTTAATTTCCTGTAATGGACTTGCGACCTGTCCAGGGTGTTTTCTGCCTTTCGCCAAATGACTGCTGGGATAGGCTCCCCCTCCCCCCCTGCAACCCAGAAAGATAAACAGCTTAGAAAATGTGTGTGTGTGTGTGTGTGTGTGTGTGTGTGTGTGTGTGTGTGTGTATGTCAATTTTAATTATTCTTCTTAAAAATTCCTGTTCACCTATTTGACATACTGAGCTAAAATCACTTTTAATTTATTAAGACACATCAATTGACCCTACTATAACTTTAGGTTTAAAAAGTACCTCTACATTTTATGGCCACCAGAGAATCACTTCCATTTTAAATGGCTGCCCAACCCTGCTTGTGACAATCTGTGCATAGTTCCAGACCTGATCTCACATACTTTAGAACATACACTTGATCAATGTCTTTAAGAGCATCTGAATACTAGAGTCAGGTGTGGTGGAACTACAACCCTGATGAGTGGTAGTTTTTTAGGTGTAGAGTTGAGTATTTTTGAGCACCCCATTTCCAAAAAGTTGGGAAAAGAATTTCACATTTCGATTCATTGGACCACAGGACACTTTTCCACTTCCCCTAAGTCCATTTTAAATGATACTGGGCCCAGAGAAGTAGACAGCATTTATGGTCCTGTTTATATAGGAGTTTTCTTCTTTGTGTTTTAGAGTTTTAACTTGCATTTGTGGTTGCAGTGATGAAATGTTTTCACAGACAGTGGTTTTCAGAGGTGTTTTTGAGCCCATGCAGTGATTTCCACTACAGAATCATGTCTGTTTTTAATGCAGTGCTGCCTGAGGGCCCAAAGATCACAGTCAGCAAATACTGGTTTTTGGCCTTGTCCCTTGCATACAGAGATTTTTTTATCTTTTAATGACATTACGTACTGTAGATGATGAAAAGAAACAGTTCTTTGCTAGTTTATGTCAAGAAACGTTATTCCTGAATTGTTGCACTATTTAATTGTGCGGTCTTTCACAGAGTGATGAACCCCTCCTCATCTTTACTTCTGAGAGACTCAGCCTCTCTGAGATGCTCTTTATACCCAATGTTACCTCATGTTACTGACCTGATGCCAGTCAAACACCAGGTTTGTTTTTTAAACATTTCACAACTTTACCAGCCTTTTGTTGTCTCTGTCCCAACTTTTTTGAAACATGTTCAAAATGGGCAAATACTTTTCAAAAAAACAAAAACATTTCTCAGTTTCAACATTTGATATGTTATATTTGTACTACTGTCAATTAAATATTGAGTTTAAATGATTTGCACATCATTGCATTTTGTTTTTATTTACATTTTGTACAGCGTCCCAACTTTTTTGGAAATGGGGTTGGAAATGATCAAGTTTCAGGCTTGTGAACTTTTTGGTGTCACTCCACGCTCCTGTTCAACCAGGGGTTCTAGGGTCCTACACAGCCAGCCTCCACCACTGACCAGCTCCTCAATCCTTTCCAAACTGCCAATCTTGTGGTCTAGATTCACTCAATGTTTTGGGCTTTGGGAGCCTCACTTTATGTAGTGTACTCTTGTTTGGGACTGGCCTGCTCCGGCTCTGACTCCACTCATTTATTACCACACACACTTGTGGCCCATTTCTAAGACTGAATAACAAACAAACAGTATTGATTTAATGTTTTAGGCACTTGAGAAAAATTAATTTAAAAAGCTATTTAATTGGTCAGTAAGCAATTAAGAATGTTAAGAAAAACATAAATATTAGGATGAATACAAATTTCCAAACATTCCAAACCCTCTTGGGGTTTCTAAACCCTTGTGGACATCAAGCAATACTTGTAGTTTTCATCCACTAGCTTTTTTTCATTAATTAGTCTTTGATTAAATCAGGAGTGCAGGTTGTTGGATTTGTTGGATATTATTATCATTAATTTGCCCTTCGTTCGTATTCTTGTCTGAGCTGATACGCTCATATTTTTTTTACTCTGTAACGTTATGAAAATTAAAGTAGCGAAGTAAAAGTATTTTATTAAAAATTAACTTAAATATGAGTGAAAGTACTATGATTTAATTCTACTCCAAAGAGTATCGTTACAGGGAAAACTGTTCTCAATTACAGTAACGAGAGTAAATGTAATTCGTTACTTACACCTCTGCCTACTTAGGGATGGCTCATGGTCTTGTGAGGCTCCTGGGCACTAGCATCTTTGGAGCTGCCCCCCCTAACTCTAACCATTGCCATAAATAAATGAATAAATAAATAAACTGAAAAGTGAGATTAAACAATACTTCATGTTTGTGTTCATCAGCAATGCAAATTTTCAATCCTTTTTTTTTAGAATAAACAAAATTAGCCTTATTATTGATTAATGTGCAATTTTCTACAGTGTACATTGTGACATTCTATGCTGTTGTGTAAGGTTTTATGAATGTAAAGCCAAACTGAGCCTTAATGCAGGGAAAAAATATTCCTACACATAAAAAGGGTACAACATCCAATGTAAAAGGAAGCAACAAAATAAATGATAAAGGGGCCCAATATTTCCTGTTTTACTTCATTTGTTTAGTTGTTCATCTAATGCTTACATCTGCATTGGACAAGTACTTAATGCGCCTCTAGTCTGAGACCCCCGAGGACCCTGGGGTCTGGCCCTAATGGCCTAGTCAGTAATCCATCCCTGATCCTACTGGGTCTTCAAAGCCACTGATGTGTTGGGTCTGAGGAGCTACTGGCCTCTGCCGAATCTGTGGAACCACTGACTCTACTTTTTCTGGTAAGCCAACAACCCAACTGAGTTTGATGAGTCATTGACCATACTGATATCTTAGAAGCCATTGACCTGCCGAGTCTGAGGAACTATAGAGGTTGCTGAGTGTGAGGAGCCACTGACCCTACAGAGTTTGAGGAACTATTGACCCTATAGAATCTGAGAAGCCACTGACCCTAGCGAATCTGAGGAACAGTTGACCTTACCGATTCTGAGGAGCCCCCAACCCTACGGATTTTGCAAAGCCGTTGACTCAATTGAGTTTGAGGCCCCCACTGACTATAGAAGAGCCCTGGACCCTACTGAGTCTGAGAAGCCACTGACCTATTGAGTCAGAGGAGCTATGGACCTTAGTGAATTTAGTGAATTTGAAGAACCATTGACGCTTCTGAATCCATTTATTCTACTGATTCCATTGATCCTACTCAATCTGAGGAACGACTGGCCTTACTGAGATTGAGGCGCAATTAACCCTACAGAATTTGAGGAACCACTAATCCTACTGAGTCAGAGAAACCTGATGCCTTTTCCACAGCCTTCCACAATATTTTTACACAGTTCATGAGTGTGCTCAGACCTTGTAAGGCCTCTTTGGCTCGGTCCAGCTCCTGCTCCTTCTCTCCAAGCTGCACCCGTAGCTCTGCAGCCGAAAGTGTGTTAGCTGAACAGCCCTGAGACTCTTCAAGGTCTTTACTCAACATTTCCTTCATCTGCCTCAGGAGGTGCACTTCCTCCTGCAGCTGAGCCACTTCTTCCCTCAGCAGCACTGCAGAGAAACACAGAGAGAGAAATAAAGTTGTCAGGAAAAAAGTTGAAAATTTTACATCCCGTCACCTAAAAATAAAACGCTGAAAAACAGAATTTGTTAACTTCCTTAAACTCTAAACGTCCATATGTGTGGATCCACACTTGAACTCTTTAGTCTCATAACTACATAACTTACACATTAGCTTCATCGTAGTTACTAAAAAAATCATAGTAGTTTTTGTATAATAGGCCTGTAGTTTAAGAGGTTAAATCATCAGCAGATGGAAGAGAAAAGAAAGAGGAATGAGAAAGAAGAGGAGGGGAAAAAACAGTGAAAGGCAGAATGAAGGGGGGAGGAAGGATGGAAAGAAAAGAAAAAAGAGAGAGGGACATGATTAGTAAAAGCAGTAATTATGAACAGTGGTTGCTGGGCTGTAAGATTGCAGCCTTCTACAGCCAAAGCAGAGTGAAAATTGCTGTGATAACAGAAACAGAGCGCTCAGCTGTTTTCTTCAAATTCACACCCTCCACATCATTCACTGCTATTTCTGTTGAAGTATTTTTTGGTTTAGACTAGCTACAGACAGACAGACAGACAGGATCACACACACAGACCAGTGTGGGTACAATACTGAGCTTTTATTCAAATGTAGAACCAAAACCAAATACACTTAACTGAAATAAAGGCTCCTCTAGGCTCGCTCGCCAAACTCAGTTTTAGTCATGGCTCTACAGCCAAAGTTCTCTCCCTACCATTTTTTCCCTATTGGCATGCTTTGTTTTTGTTTATTTGTTTACTTTGTTTATTGTCAGTTCCATCCACTAGCTAGGTCTCACCCTATTTCACGATACTTCCTCCAAGACGTGAAACCAGACCAACTTTACCAACTTTAATGAAACTAATGCACTGTACACTGCAACATGCTTCAATGAGAACGCTAACTGCCAATTCTTCCTATTCTAGCAAACTGACACCCACGTTGGGGGAGATGGAGGACCATCCTACCCAATCTAGAGGGAGTGAGGCCAGTTGTGCCGTCTTGGATCCCTGGCTCAGAAGGCTGCTGTGGCATTGCTGGAGATCAAATTTGCGGCCTCCTGATGATGGGTGTCACAGCTCCTCCCTCTGCACGTAAACAGTGCACTAAAATTCTTTTTTGTTTTGACCGAAAAATAGTGACCAACTGTTCTCTGTTGTCGGGGATGTTGGATTTCATGGCACATATAAGTCTACTAAAATTAATCATTTTAGTACATTAAGCAAACTAATTTTATTTATTGTCAGCTCGTTATGGTTTTAGGTTTTCTGTTTTGTCTTGCAGCCCAGGTTTTCTTGAATTTCAGTTTTGGCCAAATATGTGGTGCCTCACTAATAAACAGGGCTCTCAGAAATACACGTATAAAACTGTCACTGGGGCAGTACCTCTCTTGTCACTGGGGTGGTACCCTCAGTGGTACATCTCAGTGCCTTTAGTCAGGGAACATAATTGTACCATAATCCACTGAAACTCCACACACCCTGTCTTATCTCCAGGCTTTTTATTTTATTGTTCTGTTTTAAAACATTAAGTTATGAATAGGTACAAATACGCACTTTTCACCTGGAAAAACTTCTTTAAGCTACACAACTGACCCTTAAAACCACTGCTGTACCTTTGAGGGAATATTTACATTGTTTATACCCTGGTGAATGAAAAAGTACCTGCACAGAGCCTTTATTTCTAAAAGTGTACAACCAATAATTGTTTCTATAATCACTTAACCTATCAACTATTTTTCAGTTAATTGACTAAAAATGGATTTTTGTTTCATAAAAAAAATCAATAAATGTAGAAATTGCTGTTGTTAACATTTATTTCTCAGTTGAACAATTTCTCTTGCTAATCAAGTATGACTGAATACAAAACAGTTCAATTTTTTTTTATTATTACTTTTTCTGTTTACTCAGTTCTAGCACATAATTTTAAATTTTGTCACCAGTTATGAGTCACATCAAGATTATGAGCATGTCTTAAATATCTAGGCAACATCAACGGCTAAAGGTTTCTTCATTAAACATCACTATGTTTATGGCTGGTACGATTGACTAGCACATTTATGATTTTATGAATGCATATTTCAGATTTTAGGCACATGCAACTTTATCATCATGAAAGCATTCTAAAGCAGATTTTACTTGCACTATTTTTGTCCTCCCAGGTCACCTGGACTGTGTTAGTCTGGAGCCTTTACCTCTACTGGGCCAACATTAGCCACTAAGGCTAAATAGTTAAAGCACTTACACACTACCAGCAATGTGTTGAAACTCCAGTATTTCTGGTAAGTTTTGTAATGTTTGTGCATTGTTGTCAGGTTACTATAAAATGCCATCTCTTTATATGTATGCACTGTTATGTGCTGTGACCTTTGTGGGTCTTACTATCTTGAGTTTATCTCCATTTGTCCCACCATTATTTAAAGTACTGTCAATGCCACAAAGAATTTTCTTTTTATGGTGCAACTAATAAAGCTGTATTGAAATTGTAGGAATTAATGCATATATAAACAATATATGTTTGGATTCACAATGAAATCAGTATCATATCAGTTTCGGAAGATATTTGCATTCAAAAATATATTCAGGTTCATGTAGTCATAATTTCAACATTTTATAAATGTTTATGTATTGGCATCAACCCACAATCCCTATACTGGTGCATCTTCAGACGTGTGTGATAAACAGCAAATGAAACCACAGTAACAGCCAGATTCTAGATTAAAGTAAGTTGTGAAATATCAGCAAACACAGCACCATATTTACAACAGCACTAAGAGGCTGTGTGTGTTTTTAATAAGCTGAAGAAAGTTTGTATTTTGTTCTGATTGAAGACCTGCTATATCTCAGCTTTTCACAGCGGGCTGTGCACGGATGTGTGTGTGGGGGTGTGTGTGAAGGCACCAAGGCTGTGTGAGTGAGTGCAAATTCAACTAAAGAAAAAAAACTCTTCAACGGGCTTTTTAAAAGCTCACATGCAAATGCTTTTCTTAATTAATTAGCTGATTTATTTATTTATTTATTTTAATTCATTCACTCTAAATTGATGCAAAATATTTCATTTAAACTCAGCTGTTGCAAGAGTAAAGCCACTAAATAGCAGAGAGAGTGAATAAATATCAGACTGAGGGCTATAGATTAGAAAACAACTGCAGAGAAATCAATATTTTTGAGAAGGAGCAATACATGTTATTGACAAAAAATACATCAAATTGATTGTAATCTGCGTCTTCTACTGCAGTAGCTTCAATTGGTACAGTGGTCACAAATCAATTAGATGAGATTTTGGATATCATCAGCGGAATTAATGAAGAATTTCAGTGGATTGCTGCGCTTTGTAAAAGCAGAATATTCAAAAAGCAAAAAAAGACAATATTTTTGCCATAATTGCTGGACTGGCAAAGCAGAGCTTGCTAAGAAACTGTTTTGGTAAGCCTACTTGTTCTTATCAATCCAAACGAAGCCACCCAAAAATGATTTTCTTTTTAAAAGGACCATTTAGTGCATTTGTCTTATATTATATTGTTTTCCATGTGGTCCACTAATGAGCGTTGTGTAGATTTATTTCTCCAAACCAGTCATAATTCATGTTTACGTGACCATTTCAAACCTCTCTGTATCTCTTAGAATCTTATTGCTACAGTACTGTTGTTAATTTAAGACTGATATATGTAAATTACTTTGGTTTTAATAGGCTGTCCTGTATTGTGCCTCATTCATAAAGCAGTATGGGGTGAAACACTTCTTTTAACTCCTTATGTGGGTGAGGCTAAACTACTGTAGGCTAAATAAGTGACTACATGTAAATGCACTGGCTTTCATAACATCCACAAAACAAATGTGAAACAGCTTAGTGTCCATACATGGACTGGTGTGAATGGTACATTTGGAAGATTTGACAATCTTTTCATACTACATTAAACCCATATTTCAAACCAGCAAGGAAAATTCATTTTTCTATGGTTTGGACCCTTTAAAAGGAAAATCCTTGTTAAAATAAATCACATTAAGAGAGCAATTCCAGATTAAAGTGAAAATTAAATTACTTTAAGCAGCAGTGATAGCAAAAACTGAAAGCCTTCCCACTGAGAGGCTGAGAGAGAGGGACAGACAGACAGAGGGGCAGAGAGAGAGAGAGTGAAAAGTAAAAAGCTAGAGAGAAACAGAGTGTAAAAGAGATAGAAAGAAAGAGATGGAGAAAGGAAGAAAGTTTGAGAGGAGAAACAGACAGGGGAAGAGAGGAAGAAAGAGAGAGAGACAAAGAGTTGGAGAGGAACAAAGAGTTGGAGAGGAAACGTAGAGATAGAGAGAGAAGGAGAGAATAAATGAGAGAGCAAGAGAAGAAGAAAGAGGAGGAGAGCAGAAACAGAGAGAGAGAGAGAGCACTCTTCTGTTTCTACTACTGACAGCGTAGGGGGCCTGCGGAGTGGCTGATAAGCGAGTGGATGGACAGCCCATTGGTCACTGTCCTCCTCCACTAGCCTGCTGCAGAAGCTTCCTCTCCAGTAAGCACCATCTCTCACACTACTGTCCTCCAGCCTAAAGCTGCTTACTCATTTGTTTACCCTGGAGACGACTTATTTGGGGCAGTGGGCCCGATTCTCTGCAGGCCAGAGCCTTGTGTGAGCGCCACAGACTTGTCAACAAATCTGTTCCAATAAATCTGTGAGCTCATCAGGCCAAAAAACAAAACACAAAGGACATCAGTTCTATCTGCATCAGTGTCTGCAGCTCGTTACCTGATAACCAACCTGGAGAATTCCTATCAAAGGAGTAGTTCAATAAAACATGTACACATGAAGGTTTTCGTTCCAAAATGCATTATAGACAACTTCTGAAGTTTTCTTTTTTTTCGTAACATATGTTGTTGGGAGTGAGCTTTACACATACAAAACATATCACGGCTGTATTACTTTAGTTTGTAATGGCAGTTTATGTACCACCAATCAGCACTGTGTGAAGTGCATGCTTAATTCATCCCTCAC